AAAAAAAAAAACTATTTTAAAGTAGAATTATCTGCACCCTTAAAGCTGATGTGGCAGAGTGTGTGTATTTCACTCTCCTTGAGAGAGTGAGAAGCAAGAAAAAACGATTTTCAGATTTTTCTTTTTTTGCTTTTCTTAACCATGTTTTCTTACTTTTTTTTCCTTTTCCTTTTCCTTTTTCTTTGTCTTTTTTTTTTAACTTTTTTTTCGTTTCCTCTCTAATTCCGGCGGATATTCATTCACCGGCGACTTTGTCTAACCGTTTTTCTTCCATTTATTCTGTTTTTCTTTTTCCTCTTTCTATCCTTTTCACACACAAATTAAACTCTCAAAAAGATCTATTCATAAGCAAAGCAAATTAAACTCAAATTTGGGGGAAAAAATTCATCATCGAAAAAAATTGAGGTATTGAAATTTTAACTGAAAAAAGTCTTCTCAGCTTATATCGTTTTTCTTTCTTTTGCTCTTCCTCCCACACATAAATTACACTTTCAAGAAAAATTTATATAGATATATAAAGCAAAATACACTCAAATCGGGATAAAAATCTGTCGCCGGAAAAAATGATGTCCTTGAAATTCCGACAACCACCATTTTATGCCACCGGTGACCAAAACAAAAATAAAGAGAATAAAATAACCAAAAAATGAGAATAAGAAAAAATAAGAAAAAAGGATAAGAAAAAGAAAAAAGAATAAAAAAAGTACTAAATATACATGTGGCAGAGCGTATAGTTCACCACTTACCAAGAGTTTGATTGTCTAGTTTTAGTGTGATATTTGTTCCATTTAAAAATAATTTAGGGGGGTAATACAAACCCGCAAAGGTAGAGTGTGTAGTTGGAAATTCGGATATAGATCGGGGAAGGGGTACTCATGCATTTTCCCTAGGAATTTATCTACTACAATACATGTAATACATTGGGTTTTGTGCTCCCAAACTATAGTAGAAATGACACCAAATAACCACTCTAAAGGACTGCTATTTTAGAATTAGCCGATGTGTCCTGAATTTTAATTTTTCAGTTTAATTTTTCGGGAAAAAAGTGTCCTGAAGTTAAGATTTTTAATTTAAAATTTCATGACAAAATAAGTACTGGCTAATATCTAAATAGCATCCCTGAAAATGGCTATTTGTGCACTTGACTCCAAAACTATAAAGCAAGTAATGGTTGTATTGGGGCAAAAGTGACCCAATACAATCCTAGGCCTTAGCCTAAAATTCTTCTTCAAGTCCTATGCCTGGCTTGATTGAATAGTTTCCTACTTTTGATAAGTAATGACTAATGAATGAGTAGTCACGGTAATGACTAATGAAACACACTTCAAGCCTCAATATAACTCTGAAGCATCAAAAAAGGACTAGCATTGGCAAAGGAAATGAAATATAAAGATTTAGAAGTGAAAATTGCTTACTTGTTGTCAAGCTTATTGTTATGAACTTCTCAAACAACACAATTATAAATAGTGAATTGATCTTTCATTAATAGAAAACTCAGTATATGGAATTACAGAAAAGAAGATAGACATTAACATAACAGGGACAGTAACAGAAAGAAAGTAGGGGGAGAGACATAGCCACAGAGAGAAACAGACGAGCGAGAGAGAGACTAGAGAGAGGGGAAGTTTCTAACAATATTCAGCATGTCCCACTATCATACAACCGTGCTATTTAACTAACCAAACTCCATTTCATATTTCACATGCTAAGTCCATCAACCCGGGTCCCAAATGTAACTTTCCATCCTCTGTGATGGTCTCTTCAATCCTTTCCTTTCGCTTAGTGGCTTTCCAAGCCCACTATCATCAACCCCAACTTCTCCGCTACTTTCATTTGGCCCAAGCCCAATATCATTCATGACAATTCCCACGCTCCCAATGAGAACCTTGTCCTCAAGGTTCAAGAGAGGATTTCCAGTCAATAAGAAGTTAAATTCAGAGCATGAGGTGACAACCAATTGCTAGATATGATGTACACATTGTTGCCAAAAGAAAGAACTAGATGACTCCTCTGTTTCTAGTTTATAGTAAGAGCATATGAGTCTTGTTGGGCTAGAAATCTTTCTAACTCAAACATTACAATCTTCCCTTGAAGCAGTTGCATCATCATAATGAATTTTTTAGATGGCAGCACATTAATAACATCAACAGTACTACCATTACACTCATACATGGGAGATAAAATAACAATATCCTTCTGAGAGCAAGAGCCACCGAAACCTGCACCAACATTAAGAAACTTGGAATTATTCTGGGAGTCTTGATCAAAGCCATAAGACACCTCATCAACTGACCAAAAATAAGGCCTAATAGATTCCAAACAATTCCCACATAGTAATATCCCTGCAGCTTTGCAAAGTATGAGCTGGGACTTCAGGACAATTTATTGGTTTCTTGCACGAGTACTGTAATCTCATTGGATAGTGTTTTCTGGATGTCACCAAAAGATATAGGTGAAGGATGAAATCCACACAATTTAGTTCTTGACAACACCATCGTCTCAAAATCAAGCGTGTATAAGTCATGTAATGTTTTAGACTTTGATGATCTCCCAAAGATCATAATCAATTTAACACCAGAAAGGATAGCCATATGGTGTAATCATGGTGATGGACATGTTCTCGTGCAATGAAACAACTTCCATATCAAGGATTCAAGAGCAAGCATGTGTAGAACATTTAACTCCTGCCTCTTTGCATCTTCAACCCCAAGGTATGTAGTAAGAAATCGGGAACCAGGATCATAGGGAAAGTCTAATCCAATGTTTACTCCACTCCATTCACATGACGCAACAAATGAAGGGTCTTTGCCACCAATAACAATCCTTAGAAGAACATTTTTGCCCACAAGCTTTGTTGTTACCGATTTGTATGCATCAACAGTATTTCGCAAGTGAAGTTTTAAGAGTTCAATGCAAGAATTCATTAAGGTTGACATTATGAACCTATTAGGAAAGTCGCTCAGAAGCATAACAGAATATACAATTGCTAGCAACTCTAAGGAATATGGTAAGCGAACTAGAGCCAGGATCAAATGGAAACTCCAATCCAAATTGATCAAGTGTAAATTGATGCAAGGATAAAATAAGTCTACTATGATCAAGACCACTTAAGTAATCAAATATACCTCTGTTGAGACGTTGGCTGTTACTGCAAGCAGAAAGGACACGAGGCAGTGCTAGTTGATTATCAAACATGACATTGCCACTGTAAGCAAACTTAACCGTAGAAGCTGTATGAATCATTTCATCAAACACCTGGCTTTCATGCTTAACTGAATCATTCTTCACTGAATCTTCAACTTTTATGTCAATTTTTCTATTGGGTATTTCAGCGAACACCTTGCAGGCATAAATTTTTGAATTTTCCTCCTCTCGTTTTTAGTTTCCACCTTCTCAATAAGTCTTCAGAATCATCCGCAGGGCTGGAGCGTCCATTATCCAAATCAGAGTCAACCTCTGCTGCTAATATATCCTTTGGTTTGCACTTATGGTCCAAAGACAACCACATCCCGATGTGCAGAAGTTTCGGGGATTGTCTTGGAATAGGCAGACAACTTGTTCTCAATATTTCCGAGAATTCTCAGCATACGATTGCTATGGTCCATCAACTCCACCATCAGTCCCTGGATGGCGTCGAGGTGATAATTCATAATAGTAGAAGAGAAGAGACCCATGGGGTCCAAATCAATGAAAGCACCAATGTTACAATCTTCTCAAACAACACAATTATAAATAGGATACATGGAATTAGAGAATAAGAAGATAGACATTAACATAACAAGGATAGTAACAGAAAGAAAGTAGGGGGGTGACAGAGCCACGGAGAAACAGACGAGGGAGAGAGAGACACTACAGAGAGGAAGTTTCTAACAATATTCAGCATAGAACCGTGCTGAATTTAACTAACCAAACTCCATTTCACATTTCACATGCTAAGCCCATCAACCGAGTCCCAAATGTAACCTTCCATCCTTTGTGATGGTTTCTTCAATGGAATTTTTACCTCCTGTACCAAGTTAATATCTTATTTATTTGGTAGAATGACACTTATACTTGTGCCACTTTATCATCCCGGTCCCCAAACTTGATGAAGTTTTATCTAGACACCTCTACTCGTTTAAAAGTAATATTTTAAACCCCTCTGACCATTGACCAAGTCTATGTGGCAACTTAATCGCTGAACTGGACAAAATCGTGTATTTCACGCATATAAGGAGCATGAACGTAAAAAATTTATGATTAAAATAAGGAAAAAAGAAAAAGAAAAATTCAAAAAATCAAATTAGAAAAGAAAGAAAAGGCCAAATAGGTGATTTTTTTCTTTCTCTTATGTTCTGTCGCCCACCAAGGACGCCCCCCCCCCCCCGTGTCTCCCTCCCTTCTTCACTTTGCTCCTCTTCCCCCATTTTAATCCAAAACCCACAGCAACGGTACCCTCCCCACCATATCTTCATCCAAACAATGACATCCCTCGTCGCTATAGATCCAAAACATGTACCAGATTTGTATCAATTTTTGGGGAGTTTTTTTTTCTCACACCCCATTCCCTACTTTGAAAGATAGCCTTTGCAAAGAAAAGAAATAGAAATAATGAAAGAAGATCGCCGGTGAAACCTATTTTCTAGTTTTCTTGTAGTGAAATTTCAAAAAGTTTTGGGTGATGTTGGTCTTTCAGGTGGTCATTATTGATGGCCGGTTTAGCTTTTGGTGGTTGATTGGTGATGCTATGGTGGAATGTTGGCTGTGAAGAAGCTTTGTAGGTGAAGGATGGTCGAAGAGGGGTTGCACACAGTGACGGTTAGGAGATTTTTAAAATTTGTGAATGGAGAATAAAAATGGTGAGGGAGGAGGAAGATGGAGTAAATGGTGGAATAAAGAAAGGAAATGAATAATTTAAATATGTGAAAAATAAGTATAATAGATGTAGTAACAAAAATTTGACGTAGGCCACTGATGTGTCATCCATGTCAGAGATTTGAAGACACGCGAGTGAGAGGGTTTAAAATATTGGCTTTGAACTACTATAAGTGTCTGGATGAATCTTCTTTGAATATAGGGACCGGGATGACAAACGCTAACAAGTACAAGTGCCTACGAGGCTATTCTGCCTTTTTTTTTTCCAGAGATTTATTGTGCACTGCTAGTTCACCAATCAAAACCTTCATTCTTGATTCCCTTTTTTCACTACTCTCTCCACCCAC